GCCCTTGTGGATATCCTTGAAACTCGGGCCTCGGTTGATAGCCTTGGAATTCGGGTCTCGGTTGGAACGGTGGTCGGTTGTTCGGTGGAGCATATTGTTGAGGTTGGGAATACGCTTGTTGTGGTGCCGGTTGGGGTGGGTAGGTGGCTTTCGGGTCCCTCTATGAAAAGTTGGGGTGGTTTCGCCACCCGGGATTGTAGGTGTTCGAGTAAGGATCGTTTTGGACCCGGGGAGCGTACCCTTGAATAGCATTGATGTCGTAGGGGACTCCTTCGAGATTTGGGTCGTAGACCGGCACCATATAATTCGGGCACTCGTGGCCTCCATGGCCGGCCTCTCCACAACACCCGCATACTTCGGCCATCACAACTTGGGTCGATTTTGCATCCCTTAGCCGAAGTTGCTTGAGTTCTTCTTCTAACGAGGCAAGCTTGGCGAGAACGGCATCGTTCGAGGACCCGGTAGTTTGTGTAGCTTCGTTAATGGGGGCCCTCTTGCGAACGCTCTTCCTTTGCGAATTCTCACTTAACATCTCATAAAGATTATAGATCTCCTCCTCCGTGTGGCTCCCTATGTCTCCACCGGCCGCATGATCGACCATGTATTGAAGAGTTTGGTGGAGACCATCGTAGAAGAATTGGTTGAGCATACCGAGGCAAAAGTGGTGATGTGGGCATTGGAGTTGATAGCCTTTGAATCGTTCCCAAGCCTCGTGGAAAGTCTCGCTGATATTTTGGCTAAAGCTAGCCATTTGGGTCCGGAGGTCGGTAGTCTTTTGGTGCGAATAGTACTTGCTCATGAATTTCTCGTAAACGGCTTCCCACGTATTGAGCGAGCTCGGAAGCAACGTCATGAACCAAGTTTTTGCTCTATCTTTCAAAGTATATGGAAAGCACCTCATTCGTAGTTGGTTCTTGGTTAGGCCTTGGAGAGGAAATGTGTTGACGGTTGCATAGAAGTCTCGGATGAAGTTGAGAGCATCTTCTTGGGCTAGGCCATAGAATGAGGGTAGTTGGTTTAGGTGGAGGGTCTTGAGGTCGTAATTTCGGGCCGTCTCCCCGAGCACGAGGCACGAAGTATTGTCTCCAATGATAGGCCGTGCAAAATATCTCATGTTCGGGGGAGGTGGTGGTGGCAATTGGTCTTCTTGTCCTGCCATTGATTCGGTTTCGGGTTTCGGTTGTGGTTCCTCAACATTAAACTCAACGAAAAGGTCGATCGATGGTGTCTCCTCTACGGGTGCACGCCTTCGCTATGTAACGCCCAGTTTGATTATGAATTATTGGAGACTATTATTATTATTATTATTATTATTATTATTATTATTATTATTATTATTATTATTATTATTATTATTATTATTATCATGATTGATGTTAATTGTTTCAATTGGTTATTATTATATATACTAATGTGTGTGATATGTAAATATCACTGGTTGATTTATTTGAATTTCCGAGTGTCGTCCGATTTAACCGAATCTCGAGATTATTAAGTCGTATATATATTATGATATTTATTCGTCGTCAATCAAATCGTTCGATATTTTTCGATTTTAGGTCTCGACACAATTAGAACTTTTCTTTAAGTGTTTCCGCTGTAAATTCGACTTATGTCGAAAGTATTCACGATCAAATTTTATTTATTAATCGAGATAGTTCAATAATTAATTAATTCCGGTCTGTTTATCTTATAAATAGATTTATAAGACGGAATTGACTATTCCAAGATGAAGAATAATCGAAATCTGGGATATTTCGATTAATCGTTTAAGATAAGCCTGAACCGAACCTAGCATGTTCGCTCATGAGTCGATCTTTAATCAAGTAATAGTTGAGTATTAGTACTAAATACTTGGAATTTTTCTAAGTGTTTGAGTTATTAAATTAAGATTATAATATCTCACAAGAGTTGACTAATGCATCTGAGATCCGATCAAGCATAAGTTAGTTCAACTAATATCACCAAATTGTCATGTGCAAGACAACAAAGCCATCTAAGGCATCTCATGGAAAAACAAGAAAAGCTGAACTGCTATTGCATTATTGGGAGTATTAGCTCAGGTCAACTAGACAAACCGAATATAACAGATGAGAGGAGATCAACTACTATTCTTGTTTCATTTTGTCTAGACTTTGTATGATCAATATTATAAAATAGGTTCATTAATAAATCCCTTCAACCATATACGTGAGTATCATAGAAAGATAGAAGAGAGAAAAGGAGAGAGTTTTCTTCATATTTCCATTATAAGAGCTTATTTTCATCCCGACTTTGGGTGTTCCGTCGGGACTCGAAAACCAAGTCGAATCATACAAACATATACTCTCGTGAAAGCTCGAGAAGAGAAGAAGACAACGGTGGTATCGATTTATTAATTCGGGGTCCCAATCATTTATTTTGAGATTACTTTTGTAGTCTTGAGAATAAAGTTTTGGGCCGTTTTTCCGGCGGAACTCCATTCCCGTTATTTCGTTCGATTTCTTTAACCGAGCTCGTAGTTTCCCGAAGACGGGTAATATTTCCGAACCCTCTCGTTATTGCGATCGTGCTCGTATATTACATGTTATATATATATATATATATATATATATATATATATATATCGTTCGGACTACTGAATCCTTGTTTGAAGTTGAATTTCTTTCAACTTTTATATGCATGATTTAATGCTATTTTGTTCTGTAATTATGACCATTAAAAACTCGTAATATGTTGTTAAGATCTTCTGGTGAAACGTAGTATTTTCTGTTGGCTTTCTCAGGGCTTTGGAATTTTGATAATCCGAGTTATATCGAGTGAGTTATGATTTTTATAAAATGAGTACGCAAGCAGTTTTTCGAAAATCTGGCAGCATGTATTTATAAATGTTTTTCCTGTGTATGGTATCTTAATGTACTCAAAAGAGTTTATAGTCTTCATGAAAGTTGTAGTTCTATTGAATAGCTTTCTAAAGAGATAAAACTCATACTGAGATGATGTATGTAGCTCGAGTTGTG